CTTGGGCTCGATCCATTAGCCCTCACTTGGCCCATTTCCACTTCTTCTATATACATGTGAATTCACCAAAGGTATGTTTTTCTAACCCCAAACCCCATCTCCAGTCTCTTACACTCATTTCTCTCTCATTCGACCGTTGACTTCATCATCAGAGTGCAAACAATTGCCAATCTTTTTCTCGGTCGACGGCATTTGCTTCCTAACAGAGTGTTCAAGTGAGCAGGTAATATCGACGTGGAGTGGAGGTAATCGGGATCCTATTAGAGCATTTTTTGGGTCAACAAGCACTTAAAGACACATTAATTATCTCAACATGCTATAATAGTCTTCTTATTTGATCAAAATTTGTTGTCGTCGAGCTTGGTTTAACTTAAGGATGTTAAGTGGAGCAAGTCACTTGTCAGCTCAGCTTGACCACAAGCGAGTCGAACAATAAATTACTCGTTCGAGCAAGCTCGCCAATGGCTCGCTTTTTAGCTAATGAGCCAATCGAGGAGAACCCGTAGGCTTGTTAGGGTAGCATCAAAATTGAAATTTGAATTCAAAATTTTGTTTTATTTTTTTAAAATTCAGGTTTACAAATATGGAGTTCTAAAAATCAAATTCCATCACATTTCACTTTCAACATTCTCTATCATCTCTGTAAATTATCGATCTCAACTCTTTAGCAGCATAATTTTGCAACTATGACTTTCCTAATTTTGCAAATATAATTCTCCTGATTTCATAATTCTGTTGGAGTTTTATTTCTTCACACTCCTAATTCCATAATATCTACTTCTATCTTTCTTGTTGCTTTATTATACATAATTTATATAATTGCTAGCTCATCATCATTTTCTTGGAATGAAAATGATTTATTTTTAGTTTGTCACCAAATTTTCAAATATCCGACGAAAACGTCAATTCTGTTATGGCTTTCGGTAAGATTAAAGAAGAATTAAAGTTATTCTTCCAAAACTACGGAGGTAATATTTCTTTAGCCTTTGTGATATGTGTTATGTTGGCAATAATCAGTAAGTATAATTGATAACATTATATCTTGACGATGATAATTCGACTCTTATGAAAAAATTATTTGTTGTTAAACACATTACATCGAACGAACATACTACTCACATTGCACAAATTATTTCACATTCTATTCAAGATTTTAATTTGATAGATAAAATATTTTTTGTATCATATACAACATGCTTCGTTAACAATACTGTTTTACGACATCTGTAACAATTAATTTAATTTTTTTTTCCGATAAAATGTTTGAATATAATTATTTATTAAGATATACCGTCAATAATACGATCTGGTGAATTAACATTTTTTTAACTGTCTGTAGTGTAGCCGATTCCATACACATAACGGATAAGAGTTTTCGTAACTTCATAATAATTTCGACGAAATATAGTTTTTAAGTTTACCTTTTCCTTTATTATGAAAGTACAATTTTCCCTTCGATTATAAAAGATAAAAAGAGGAGCAAGTTGGCTCGACTTGTCCCCCAAGGGCTAAGCCGAACCTCGCATCAATGAAGCAAGTCAACTCGCATCTATATCGGCTGGGTCTCATCGACGAGCCATGTGACTAGGCTAGATCCATTTAACATCCTTTGCTTAACCCAGACAAAATAATGTATGTCACATATGATGTATTGGATATGTCACACTACCAAAATTATATAATTTGAAGAGGCTACGAATTTAGAAGAAAATGAATGGATAAAGGTTAGGTTAGGTAATGAGCACAGTCAATACAAGGGGAATTGCTCAACGCGCAGACATTTTGTCAGCATTCCAAGTTCCAGATCCTCTTTTTTCTCTTCTTCGCCTATCTGTTTTCCATGTTACTCTCCTTCTGTATACACCATCATCCACCAACCACAATTTTATTTTATTTTATTTCATTGTCGCGTGACGTATTAACAAGTTTGAGTTCGTTACACGCCTAATTTTTATAATAAAGGCGTGTTTGGTAGAGATTAAAATCGGATTAAAATTGAAAAACTAATCGTTATTGTTGACTTTTATTAGACGAATATGACCCAATAACGGTCATATTTTCAATTTTAATTGAATTTTAATCAGAAACAAACAGGCTCTAAAGCTCTTTTTTAGGGAACTATTTGACACTTTAGTTGACATACACTCACATGCGCGTGAGATCCGCGTGGATAAAAAATGATTCCCCTATTTTGAGTGCGCTGTCAGGAAGGGTTTCAAACCCTCCCTGACAACATAGCACGATTGTAATTTTTATTATTAGATACCAATGAAGGCGGCGTTAATTTAGATAAAATTTATATTTTTAGTACATTTTAATAAAAGTTGATGACATGTATGGTCAAAAAATTGTAGATTACATAAAATATATTATTAAAATTAATTGATGATTCCGATTTAGAATTAATCATTTTTTAATTGAACCAGCCTGCAACTTCCATTTAAATACAAATGACATTGAATTTTCTAAACGTTCCTTGGGTCTGATTTGGCGTACTATAATAAATCGATTGAAATGCCAAATTCTAATAGAGGCTCCTTGTCAACGAAACAAGATGGGAGCTTTGTTTCAAATTCCACACCCAATACTTGAGACTTTATGAAGAATTTTAGAAATGAATTTTACGGAGTTTCGTGGTTATTGAAATATATGAAAATTACATCGACATGATCGATGTAGTTAAGCCATATTATATCTTTAATGTCTTCGATGTGATACTTTGTACAATCGAATCAATTAGATATGTCCCTGAGTACGTTTAAAATAGAGCATGTGTCGATTGTCCGAGCTATCTCTTCTGCATAAGTTTGACTGTGAAATGTGAACCAATCTTCCGATTCACCACATTATCTTGCTCAAAAAACATATCAAGAATAACATAGATTTAAAAGTTTTACAATCACACAATATCTCACGCCAAAAACCTCCCAAAATACCCAATACAATTTCTTGCTGAAACTTCACAAAACAACAACTATAGTCAGAGAATTAGAACTTTTTTTTTTACCATTCTGTCTCTTTCTCCTCGATGCTTAAGAGTCTCTCAACTATTTCCCTCGAGGATGCACTGAATCTCTCTTAGGAGAGCATAGTGTTGGAGGTTTTTCTTTCATGTATCCATCATTTGCTGTGGTTTGAATATATGGTTCTTCGTTGAATTCAAAAAAAAAAAAACTATTTCCTTCGAGGATAAAAAAACCCTACACTCCCGTCTCAATTTAGAATCATGTTTCATGTACATTTTATTTACAAGAAGTTTGATTTTGTGCCACGAGTCTTGACATCATTGGACAGTTTAAAAAAAAATACACACACACATTCCTGTCCATTTCAATTTTAAACTCGTTGGAATCTAAACCACATACACATGACAACGTTCAAGTGATTTTATATCCCCAATTTATTGTAGTGTAGACTATTAGCCTAGAGATGACTTGTGATAGATTTGATGTTTAATCAGTCTTTAGTTGAATCCAACTTTTGTACGGCGTAGCAAATTTTATTCATTTGATTTTTTGTTAAACCCTAAAATTTTTATTTTCTTCAAAATCCTGGTCAAATTAAAACTTTGATGACGATCTGCATTCGTCACTATTATGATATTAATCACAATTTTTGCATCTATACAACCAAAATATGTTTTAAAACTTTTTACAAATTAATAATTATTCAAACTAAGCTGTAAAGTAAGATAAGTTCATTACTAGTCAAAACTAAACTACTAATTAATATGGAATATCAAATTTTAAATATTAGTCGAATGCAAGTACGATTCGATCGTTGATAATACGATTGAAAAGATCAGAGAGCGAGATTGTTGTTAATAATACTCATATGACTTTTCATAAGAACACGAAGCACCCATTCTCCAAATAGGGAAAAATGCATTTTGAAGACAAAAACACTTTTTTAAAAATGCCTTTGCCCTCCCATTCAACAGGGTTATTAGAGAAGCAACTTCGTTTCTTTACTTCTTTGCTCAATCAAGCTTAATTGTTCCTTAGTATGTTCATTGTCTTAACATCGAAATGCCTACGATACAGTGATCGACCTTTCGATAGTATATTTCCTTACTTTTTTTGAGAAGCTCTTTACACAATGGCCATGGGCTATTCACCTTTGAAAATTTGGCTACTTAAGTACTATTCATAAAGTAAATGTGAGCAAGGCTCCCAAATGTTTTGGCCTCTTGCACTAGAAGCGACACTTGAATGATGAGTTTCAAGCAGATAGCTTCTAACATTAGATAATAGGTATTAGGCATCGAGTCAGAAGAACGCGAGCAAATAAAGGGAAGCATTACATGCCTGCTAGAAGAAGCAAAGCTTCGTCACCCTGATTTGATTTTAATTTTTTAAGATTTAGTTTTATGAAAAGTTAATTTTTTTAGAATGTGCGATTAAAAAGTAAAGAAAAACTATAGATCTACGGATAAAATTATTTTATTGAAAAAAATATGTAATGAAAAATGAGTTTGAGAACAAATGATGTGAAACATCAAAGTTAAATCATGTCTAATTAAATTAAAATTATTTTTTTTGTTAAAGTTAAGAAATGTATATTTTATTGCTGTCATAAATTGAATGGAAGATTCCGAGAGCATTAAACTGAATTATAAAATCATAAATCTTTAATTATAATGACGATGAACGTCACATCAACGACTAGCAAGTTTAGCCGTCAGGAATTAAAATTAATTTTTTAGTAAATTTCGATAAAAATTGATAAAATGTATAGTTGAAAAATTGTGAATCTCATAAAATATATAATAAAAACTAATTATTAACTTTAATTTATATTAAAATATAAATTTTAATCCCAATCAATGATGGCTTTTTTTATAATTTTTTATGAAGCAATTAGGATGGGAAGGCAAATTGAAAGGTCAACGCACTCTTCCACCTCGACTATATATAGTGCGCATTCCCTCTCTTTCGGCTTCATCCTTTTTCAACTTTTCATTCATTCACCAAACACAGAAAACAGGTTCATTGTTGCAAATGGCTACCAAAGTTTACATTGTGTACGTATCTTTATACCCTCTCTGATTATTTCTGTATTTTATTCGTATTTATCTTGCGGTTCTTCGAAGTTGGAAAATCCACCGTTTCTTGATTTATCGTTTTTTTTTTCTAGATCACGATCTTGAAGATTTTTTACATTCAGTTTTGAAAATGGAGAAATGGGATTGTTGGGTCATATATAGGTTCTTGATTTTATGATTTTTGTGCAGTCTGATCTCCATTTAAATGAAATTGTGATCAAGAAATTGATTGTTTTTTGTTATTTATCATAACCATGCCGCCTTTTTGTAATTACAGTTTGAATCACTGCCTCTAGTTTGAAATTGAGCCACTGTTTCCTTTTTCAACCACACATACTCCCGAATAAATAATTTTGGACGTGACCCGTAACTTTTCCTTACATTTTAATCCCGCATTTTACATCCTCGAAAAATCACCTTTTATAGAATCTATTATTAAAACATTTATATTAGTTGAGTAGAATTTGTCAATCAGATGGTTTTGATTATGCCTTGTGGCTTCTGTAATATGTAGAGTAAATTCCAATATCAAATCTCTGTAAAATTTTGGGACATCTTATCTTTCTTATTGACTATGCACCAAAAAGTGATGTTTATGTCTCTGTTTAACTGATGGCGGTTTTCTATCAATATTCTGTATTAATTGTTGATGTGCGAGACTAGACGTTCTTGCGAATTTTACGTAGAGTTGGATTATATTCTTACTCCCATAGTTGTATCTAACTGTTCAGTCCATAGATCACCTTCAATCATGGTGTAAAATGGATTTAGACCTTTCAATTGGACCAAAATTTGAATTTAGATTCACTGGGATGTAAATGAGGATGTAAAAGTGATTTTGGAGATACCAATTTACACCACCATTAGAGATGCTCTTATTACCTGCATTGGTTGCTATGGAAGCAATTGGTTATTAGCTTGTATTATATTTGGTGGTACCTTGCTGATTCTTGCATCATTTGAAGTTTTGAAAGTAATAGAAAGTGTATTTGACAGAACTTACCTATTGACATCTTTAGTCATATAAATTCATAGCAAACAAACTTCAATTTATGATGCAGATACTATTCTACATATGGACACGTCGAGAAACTAGCTCAGGAGATCAAAAAAGGAGCTGAATCTGTTGAAGGAGTAGAGGCAAAACTATGGCAGGTTTGTGATTTTTCTTGTTCTAATTGTTCAATTGTTAACTGAAGATTCTGACATACGAAAGTTTTGTTATTGCTTCTTTCTAAGATGCGAAAGAATTAGAAACTAATTGATAGTGATTCGTTTGATAGTTTGGCTGAAAGGATTGACAAAAGTTGATATTCAAACATGGTTTCGTAGCAACAAATATCATTACAAATTTAAGGGCAATACATGCCACTGAGCTATTCTGTCATCGTGAATCCTTAATATGATTAGCTTTAGAGTTGATAAGTAATAACTTAATCACAAAGAATCCATTTCAACTATACAAGTCTCAAAATTTTATTGAGGTGAAATTTGCATATTCATACAAGTTTACCATAAGAACTTTCGGAGTCAAAGAACTCCTTGCCTTCTATTTATTCAGAAACAACTTGTAATGGTTAATAACAAGGATTATGAAGATCAAGATGTATTTTTTTGTTATTTATATGAGTTGCAATGGTAACAGGTGCCGGAAACTCTGTCTGACGAGATTCTTGGGAAGATGAGTGCACCACCCAAGAGTGATGTGCCGGTCATTACTCCAAACGAACTCACCGAGGCCGATGGAATCATATTTGGTTTTCCGACCAGATTCGGGATGATGGCTGCTCAATTTAAGGCATTTTTTGATGCGACTGGAGGCCTATGGAAGAGCCAGGCACTAGCAGGGAAGCCTGCTGGCATCTTTTACAGCACTGCATCACAAGGAGGTGGACAAGAAACTACCCCGTAAGCTTTCATTCTGCCTCTACTACCTTATACATCGTTTTTCCACCCTTTTGAACTCTTGACGTGTTTAGACTGACTTGGGATTTCATAACTCTGCAGCTTAACAGCCATTACCCAACTTGTCCATCACGGTATGATTTTTGTGCCCATTGGCTACACATTTGGGGACGGCATGTTCGAGATGGAGAATATTAAGGGTGGCAGCCCATACGGTGCTGGAACCTTTGCTGGAGATGGTTCTAGACAGCCTACAGAACTTGAATTGGGGCAAGCTTTTCACCAAGGAAAGCACACTGCAGCCATTGCAAAGAAGCTAAAAGGAACTGCTTAATTCCTCTATCTACAAGTGAAATGCATCATTCACACTCTTCAGTATTATTCCTATCAAAGCTCTGTTCCAATTTCAAATTTGCTTCTATTTTCATCAAAATAAATGTAATAGTTTCTAAACACGATATACTTTCCTTACTTTTCTAGTTGAAAATCAATGTTGATTATATATAAGATTTCCTTTATACTGTATCCAGAGCTATTCAGCATTCATAATTTGGTATGAAGTGGCTATGTGGATTGAAGTTAGATAAACTCACCATCGTAATCAAATCCAGAAAAAACTTACTCGACTAATGCTCCCTCTACCCCGTCCGCCTTCTCAAAAAGAACTAGAAAATATTTCTTCTAAATTGAATGTGATCAGTCCTGCTCTGTACATAATGCAGATTCTTATTGTCTATAAGAAACCAGTGTAAAGCTATCTTAAGTTCTATTAGAATCAGATGTATGCCCTGCAAGAAAATTGCCTCTAGAATATGTACAGGTTATGGTTTAAGTCGGCAATGAATAAGGAACGCGGCACCCCTGACTTCTTGTGCGTTTATGCAACTTTGTTACGCTATACTGGGTTAAATTGGACAACGCAAAAGAGAAATGTGTTTCAATCTTATCAAGTTCAATATACTTGGCGCGCAAATAAAGCAAAAACTCGTTGAAAATGAAAAAACTTCTCAAAGAAGACAAAGAAAGAATTTTTGCCATGATTAGCCAAGACAGGCTAAAGCATTGCTGGCTATCAAAGCAAGATTGCGTTTACTTTTTCTAACTTTGCAATGATACCAAGATGCTTATCCTTTCGAAGAATTTCTCACGTCTCTCCTTCTTTTCACCTCTTTTTAACCAAGCCACGCTCTCGCAAAAGAATACTGAATTCTTTTTAGACTTAGGGTCCGTTTGATTGCAAGAATGAAATTTGGGTGGAAAGAAAATGAATTCTATGAAATTGAATTGTCTAGAACTTGTTTTACTGAGAATTGTCAATTAATTGTGTTTGATTGATATAATTTTCTACCTGAAAAATATTAAAATTTTGGATCTTTTGGTATTTGTTTGACTTTATTTTTCATGAAAATTGTCAATTAAAGAGATATAATTTGTTACAATTGGGGATATAATTTGTTTCAATTGAAAAAAAAAAAAAAAAAACCTAGAAAAAATTTTACTAAAAAACCAAGAAAAAGTAGAAAAAAAAAATAGCCTAGAAAACCAATTCCCACCAAAGTAGTTGGAATTGATTTACCTCAAAAGCAAGAAAATGTGGAAAACCAATTACTTGAAAAATATTTCCTATCAAACACTCTAAAAAGTGAAAAATTGCAAAATCTTTGGTGGGAATTGATTTACCTCAAAAAGCAAGAAAATATGGCAAATCAAGAAAATGTGGAAAATCAATTACCATGAAAATGTTTCCTATCAAACACTCTAAAAAGTGAAAAATGGCAAAAAGATTTCCATCTTCCATGAAAAAAACTTGCCCTATCAAACAAGGCCTTAGATTGAGAGAGGCACTAATCCATAAATCATGATGAGACTCTATACCCATCAGCTTAATAATTCAAGTCTTAGGTGTCGTACACTCGAATAATTATTTTTTTAGCATGATACACTAAGAAATATATAAAATATACTACAATCATGACATGTTTCTTATATCAAGTGTTCATGGTTTACATGCCTTTGTGCACTAAATATTCAAAGATTATATGAAGGCAGATGCATGATCACAACATTTCCTAACCCGATGTAACTTCATGAAACCTTAAAGGTAGTATTGGACGCCTTAAGAGTTTAACTTAGAAGTGTAAAATAGACCGCCTCATCTCGTCTTTTTAGATACCAAATCTACCTGCAACGTTGGGTAAGTCAGGCCGAATCGTCCAAGAAAATTATCTAAAAGAAATAAGGGGAAAAAAATACATAATTACAAAGGTTTTAAGATACACTTTAAAAAATAAAAAAAAAACTTGGGAAAAAATTTCAATCGTGACCACCTGGTAACAATTTTGTACTTTATTAATTAATCAAACAGACCGAGGTCACATTAACACACAATTTATAATGACAATCGCAAATCGCATAAGGTCAAAATCACAAAGATGTAAATTGCGAGTCACAAATACAAATTTAATTAGGGATGGCAACGGGGCAGGACGGGGCGGGGTGGGGATGCCCTCCCCGTTAAGAAATTCATTCCCCGTCCCCGCCCCGTTCCCCGTTTAGGGCGGGGCGGGGTAGGTTATTTCCCCGTTTATTCCCCGTTTAAATTTTTTTTTTTTT